CTGCGGCTGAAGCCCTGCTCCTCGCTGGTGGCAGATGCCGTGACGGTGAGAGTGGAAGCAGAACTGCCTGTGCGGCAGGATTTTATCTTCCCATCCTTATTAACAGATTAGTTATAAAAAATACGTGGGGTTTTTTTCTGATCTCTCCATTGTTGTGGGGGGGATGGGACCAGCGCTCCAGGGGACCCTTTCCAACCCCGCCTTCCCCCTGCTGTCCCCCCACTTTCTACAACTCTGTTGTTTTTCTTGTTGCAGTTACGGACAAATTCACGGAGAGCATGTACGTCCTGGCCAACGAGCCCTCCGTGGCACTGTACCGGCTGCAGGAGCACGTGCGCAGATCCCTTCCGGAGCTCGCACAGCACAAGGTGAGTCGCGCTTCGCTTCGGACTCCAGAGCTGCGGCACAGTCGGGCACAAGCTGTGCTCCTGACCTGGCGCATCGTCCCCATGTCACCTCCCTTCAGGGGTGGGAAGGAGGGGGGGGAAATTGGCCATCAGGGTGCGAGGTGCTGCGGGGCCCTGGCTCGGTCTGAACTGGGGTGAGGGGACATTGCAAATTTACCCGCGGACCTGAGGAAAAAAAAAAAAACACTGGAGAGCCCAACCCCACGCTCAGACGGCTGGACTTGTGCAAGGAGACAAAGAAAAATCAGTAGTCTGTCTTGTACGGGGAGGAGGGAGATGTTAAATCTTATTACCCCTGCCTGCGCCGTGAGGTTTTTATTTCCTACATAAAATAAGGGGGAGGGTGAGAGGAGGGAAAGGGGAGCGCAGAGAAACCGCCGAGAAGAGCCCACATGAGGCAAAGCAGGATAATGAATCGTGTCTCCCAGCTGTGTTCCTGCTTTCCTCCAGAGCACGGAGCAGAGACACTTTAACGCCAGCCTTGTTGTCCTTCTCCCTCTTCTGCCAGTCATGATTCATTAGGAGTGATGTCTCATGAATAGATTACTGCTTCATGTCTATGCTAATGCACTGTCAGGCCCCATTTTTCACCTTTGCTTTACAGCCCTGGTTTCCAAATTAACCTGGATTGTGACACTTTATTATTCAATTATTTATTAATGTTTTATATACGTGTCTGCCTGCAGTGGTAGGTATATAGAGATGTATATGTATGTATAGCACATGCCGGCGCGATTGCATCACTGGCAGGCAGGAGACAGGTTGGCAGTATTATTCCTGAGCTGTCACTTGCTTTCATTTAATCAAGATAGTCCTAATTTCAGGGAATGTGTCCTGAACAAAAGGAAATGGAGCAAATTGTATGACAAGTCATGCGGGGGGAAGAGATCGGGTTCCATCACTGAACGGTGCGTCACGGGCGTGAGGGCGAGGGGTGGCGCGGAAGCGCTGATGGAAGCGACAGCCGAGCGAAGGCACCGGACGCCGAGCGGCTGGTTAGGCAGCAGGGTTTATGCCAGGCAAGATCTCCGAAAACCCCCGATTCTCTCACTTTCCCTGCTTGACATGCTCATCGCAGTTATCCGCGTGGTCTGTGACATCTCTGGTTCATCTAAGTTCATTTCCTAGCGGCAGCCATCCCAGAGAATTCTCTTTTGTAGCCAGAATTGCTGCTGTTTTCCACTTTCTTGCTGTGAGAAAGGAGGTCATGCTGTCCTGCAGATGCCAGCAGCAAACAGAAGAACGCTGCGTCCCCTCGTGTGACTGCGGCCGATGCAAGCACCAGATACCTTTGGCTTTCACAGCCTCCCTCCTACCCTGGCCGCTCGCCCCAGCTGGGGCAGCGGTGGCTTTTGTACATGAGGCAGAGCTCGCTGCGCTGCCTGCAGTGACGGTGCACATCGAGACAAAGCTGAACTGACTGCACGGTGCCCACTGCCCCGGTGCCGCCCCAGTACCTGCCTAGTGTTAGAAAACATCTCCCGGAGCTTGCTTGGAGGTGCTGCTGCTGTTTGCAGCCATTTCTTTTTGGAACAACAACGGTACAAATAAGGAGAAAACACAACAACGAACCGTAACGACCCAGACAGCCGCTCTCCCGAAACCGGACCGGCGCTGCGCCCCCCCAAGCCGCGAGTGCGTTCCCACCGCGCCGCCCCCCCAACCGGAACCCAGCGTGATGTCACATGGTATGGAATACCGGGCTCTGTTTGGCCAGGTGGGGTCAGCCCCCACCCTCTGGTTGTGCCCCTTCCTGGAGTCCGGTGAAAATTAACTCTGTCCTGGCCAAACCCAGGACACCAGCTTAACTGCTTTCCTCATTCCTGGCTGTGTTTACTGGTGCACTGGTGTGGCAAGAGCTGGGAGAAAAATGCAAAGAAAATTATTTGTTGCAGCTGGAACAACAGCAGATCCAGAGCTGCTGCCAGTGGCTTCTCCTCTGGCCTCTGCAGCTCCTGAGCTCAGTTTTTCTAACTCTGCAGTATTGTGTTTGGGAGTGTGCTCTCCTCCCTGCTGGTAACCAGTCCCTGGTAGGAACTGGGAGGGTTAAACAGAACTCGGGTCAGTGTCCTGACTGTGCTGCCAGGCTGCTGGTAATGGGCTTGTGGCCAGGTTTTCTCTGTGGCCCTCAATCTCCTCCTTTTATCCCAGTTTCAGGCATTGCTGTTTGCAGTGAACAGGATGGGCCTGTCCAGCCCTTGGACTCAAGCAGCCAAACCCCAGGAGAGAGGGATGCGCTCGGGGCCCTGACAGGGCCATGGTCACAGCGGAGTGTTCAGTTAGATGGGGCTGGAGATTTTGGGTTGCCCTGCCGGAGCCCATCAGCTTTGTGGCTAGAGACTGGAACCGGAGGGTGTCAGCAGGGCTGTGCACCGTGGAAACGCTGTCAGGTTTTATCTAAATCGGAGCAAAGGCATTAAAGTGAGGTGGGTTTAATTCTTCAGAACAGAAAAGAAGAAAAAGGAACATTCTGCGTGGCTCCATTTTCAGGTAATTCAGTCCCAAGACGTAGGTAATGTATAAAGGAAACAGGATTTATTGGTGGTTTCCAGCTTTCCTTCAGCTGTGCAGCAGCTCCGTCTCTGGCCGGCTGAGTTCTCCTGAGACGCAGCATTTAAAATTCCCAGGGGGATTAAACCTAGGAAAAACTGGAAGGGAGGGGGCTGGGAGAAAAGTTTCTGCAAGGAGAAGGTCACCTCCATGCCTTTCCAACAAGCAACTTTTTAGGATTTGCTAAAACAGTAATCTTAATACCTTCCTCACCATCTCCAGCTCTCCGAGCAGATTTGCCACCTCCCTGATAAGGGACAGCAAGGCCCTGGCTGCCTCCGCGCGCCGTAGCTGTGCTGCTAAGCCCCGCTCCGCACAGAGCAGCCTTTCTGGATTTCCCCTGGTCTTTTGAGAACTTACATCTCCTCGTTAATTTACTTCCGAGCAACAGTAATATATCATTAGTGCTATTGTGTATTAATAGCTGGCTTTAGTTCTTAAACTCCATCCAAGGGCACGTCCTGGGAATTTGAAGAAAGGACATCAAGAAAAGATTAAGAAGTGAGGAGCTCTAGGGAAAGGCTCTTGTTCCTAATTAAGGACATGAAAATCCCAGGAAGTGGTGGGAATGCTGGGAACAGACATCACTGGCTCTGATACCAGGGAAAAGATTAAAATCTGCTGGTGCTGAGAGATGACAGGACCACAGGCTGCGGCCCATACGGCTGAGCCGGTGCGATGTCGGGGTCTAAATGGTTGTTAAAGATCATCTGGCAGCTCCCGGGGAGAGCAGGGTGAGGAGCTGCAGGAGGGTTTCTGTGCCTTTTGCAGCTGCCTCTGCACGCGAAGCGTGTTCCCAGCAACAGATACAGCCGTGTAAAACGCGACCGGACTCTGAGACGAGCGAGGTCTCTGTGGGGTTGCGAGTCCTGGGTCGAAGGACTGTCTCCTGCAGAGAACTGCCTTGAGCTTTGCATGTAGAGGCTTGTTTCTTTTGTAGTTTAAAGCTATGTGGTCAAGTGTCCTGATGTGGGACAGGCTTTGAACAGCAGAAGTGATTCTGGACGAAGTCCAAGCTCCTGCCCGACCTCCTTCACTCGCAGAAAGAGGCCCTTGGATTCCCTCTGGCTTGTAACAGACTGGAGAATTAGCTCCCATGAGGACATATTTAAAGGGTGCCTGAACTACTTGAGGGCTTCTGAAATCGTGATCTATTGAGCTACACCTCTGAGTTCAGCTGTGCTTTCATTGCAGTTTGTGTATTTGTTTGGTTTTCCCTTTCCTTGGAGCCACAGCGTACGGTTATGTCCCATGCCAGAACTGGCTGCGTGCGGCACTGCTGGAGTTGGTGTGAGGTTTGTGGGGCTGCTTCCCGCTCGTGAGAGCAGGGGCACAGTGCTGACTGCTGCTTGGGAGCAGACGCCAGACTTCCAGAGCAGACTGGAGGAATCATAGAATCATAGAAAGTTTTGGGTCGGAAGGGACCCCTAGAGGTCATCTAGTCCGACCCCCCCGCAGCGAGCAGGGACACCGCTAACTAGATCAGGGTGCTCAGAGCCCTGTCCAACCTGGTCT